TATCACATCGTTTTTTATAAGTGAAACTTTCAGCATAAAGATATAAAAAGCGTAGATTTAAGCGAATCTTCAAATTATTGTTCTTTAATTAATTTTTTGCTTTCGTTTTTTATGGTTATTGCCGAATAATGCAAATAATAGTGCGCTCAGCAACAATTTACGTATAAATTAAATCCTTAATTGATGTATCAACAATATCACGGGTAAACAAGTTTTTTATGAAGATCACATCGCTTTGAAAACTGAGCCTGGATTGAAGGTAATATCGATACGTTAGCGTACTATACTTAAGTATCATCGATACTTGGATAATAAATATAGATCGTCCTAGAATTCTTTTACGATCAGCAAATATCCGATAAGGCGTCGTTACTACAAGGTAAAATGTTTCTATGACAACCGATAGAGAGAGGTCAGCATACCTTTCCGAGGGAACAGGGAAACGGGCGAATAGATAAAGAGTCGGAGGAGTAATAAAAAAGAAGAAAAAAAAAAAAACCCGTTTCGATCGACAGGAGTTGCCGCGTTGTTGCGCGTCAACTGCAAGGAAATGGACGATCATGAAAGCATTTCCGAGCCGTTTAATGATACGGCAACGTGTTGCCACAATAGAAACTTTTAGCAGTGGCGTGTTTCTAATATACGATAAACAGCCACGTGTACCATAAATTACAATGCGAGAAAAGCTCGGATCTAAATGGATGTAAGTATAGATAAGAGTCACACGTTAAAAAGAAAAAGCGATGTAAATAAAAAATTGTAACATTTCAAAGAATTAGAATAGAAGATAAGAATTGAAATAATAGATTTTCGTACAGCGCGATTTGACAAAACAATTCTATTAATTGCAATTTTATATACTTAAGCTTACTTAATTAAATTTTATATTTAAAAAATGCAGCTTAACTCAACATAATTCTATAAATTTATTTCACCACGTATCGATTATATGATAACCACCGTGAAGCGTCAATGCGTAAACAATAGCACACGAGCGAACTGTCTAAACCTCTACTTTCTATCGTAATTATGGAAAGCAACTGCTATTTATTTTTTATCGTTGACACATTTCGATGCACACCACGACGCTTCGATACCCCTACTATGGCAGAAATATGCATTATAACAAGTTATTTGTTACACTTAAAAACTTAATCACACTTTATGCACTTGCGATTTGTTTTAATTGTAAATTTTAATATTATAACGATAACACATCACTAACAGTTGATTAAGTAAACAGATAGATTGACATACAAGAAAAAGAGCTTTGTTAAACCAAATCTCTACCAAAGTATCCACAGAATGTGACCAACAAATTTTAATAATATTCTTTTGAGTTGCTTTGCAAGAATACTGTTAAATAAGCAGATAGACTGACATTCGAGAAAAAAAGCTTTGTTTAAAAAAAAAAAATTATCTAGCAAAGTGTCTATAGAATATTTTTCCAACAAATTTTAATGATATTCTTTTGAGTTCCTTCACGAGAATATTTCAGTTATTGTAAAAATAGTATGACGTACGTCAAACAAATGTCTCGCTCGAAATTTCACGCTTTAATGAGCAACTACACTATAGCAAAATCATAAAAAACGTTCAATATTTTTAAAACTGAATCATTATTTATGCCAAACGCGTCGTATCGAGCTTTTGATAATACCTGATAAAATATTTGACGAAAAAGTTTCACGAAATCGCTGGATGGTATGGCAACGTGTCACCATGATAGAGTCGCGCGTGAAGATACGAAACACTCGATAATCGCGCCGGTATTCCAGAGATCGAATGAATCGACACGTACGCGACGGAAACGAGAGTTTCATTTCTCCGATTATAGTGATGACTAGGAAACCTTCACCTGTCTACACGTCGCGCCTCCAGTTGCGCCAAACGCAACTGCATAATTCTCGTCTCTGGTTGAAGTTAAGCGAACAAATTCTCTCGATCAGTATTCAGTGTACACGTTTGAGTTGGTGGATCTATTCAGAGAATTCGCTCTTGAAAATTTTCCGACAAATAATGGCCCGCACGCTTCCATCTCGGCCGCGCTTCCATCCATATTTAGCATTAAATACGGCGTGAATGATTCATACATTTCAAGTGATAAAAATGTACGCGCATTTTACCTGTAGTATTCACAATAAGGTAACTACGATTTAACGCTAATGCGAAAGATAAATGTCATCTAGAATAATTGTGTGATTTTTCATTACCCTCTATTTTAATATTTTATCATTTGCAACAGGGCGACTTCCGACCGTTCCATTATAGAACTCTCACATGTACCATACCTAACTTTACAGCTCTCAGAAATTGATTCCCATGTTTGTTGAATGAGTCGCGCAAAGAAGAATTAATTAATGAATAAATACGGAAACATCATTTGACAATCGACGCAAGATTTCACTCGCTACGAGAAATACACACACTGTGACGAGGACGGAAAAGCCGCTCCCAACATGGGGGAGGACCTTCCTTCCTCGAAGAGGTGGCGACTGGTGACAGACGAAAATGTAGGGTTAGAAAAGCGAGCACCCGGCTAAAATACGTGGGGACGAGCTCCGTGTACAGAAGGAGAGCGAGACGGAAAGAATAGAGAAGGACAGAAATAGAGAGCGAATGCAGGAAGCCAACGCGGAGCCAAACCGCGAGAGAGAATAAGAGAGAAAAGAGAAGAGACGAGGAGAGAGACCGAGGGAGAAAGAGGACAGCAAGAAAAGCGGAGTGACTCCTCGCGGCGAACTCGGCTGGCTAACCGCCCTCCCCACTCGATTTTTTTGGACACTTACCACACCGTGCACTCACCTACGCAACTCTCTCGTATGCACTCACACGCATACACAAATGCATACAGAAACGGTACACGCAAGCCACTGCTTCTCTCTCGCTCTCTCTCTCTCTTCTTTCTTCTTTCTCTTCTCTCTCTCTCTCTCTCTCTCTCTCTCTCTCTCCTACTCTCTCTCTTTTCTTTTATAAATATTCTGATAACAAACTTACGCGTCGAGATGCATACATGCGAGTTGAGCCTCAGCAACGACGTTGGCGGCTACGAGAACATACGAGGATGAAGACGACGACAGCGATGATGCTGATGTCGGTGTTGGTGATGATAACAACGTTGTGAGGTAGCGGCGGTGATGTCGGCGAATACACTTCGCTCTCGCAAAGACGGCAGCAGCACCAGGTAGCAGTACCGACGGTTTAGACTCCCGTCGACAGATGCAACGATTTGCGAACGACGGCGGCGGTGGCTGCGGCGGGGCTTCGCCGGCGAGCACGAGAGAGACGCCCGGGACACGGTGTTTGCGCGCCGCCTCCTCGGTGGCCGCACATCGGCGGAGGTAGCGAAGTCGCGGCGAGTGCGGGTGCGTGCGCGCGCCCGCGCGAGAACGCTCGCGGGCGCTCACGGTCGGTTCGGTGTCGTTCTGTCCTTGTCGCCTCTCTTTCTCACAAACTGTCTTTTTAGCTCTCCCTCGCACGCACGGGGTTTCGTCTTCGCTGTCTTTCTTCCGCGATTTTGCCACTTCTGATTGCGATTTCTTTCTCTTATGTCTGCTTCTTTCTTTCTCCCGTGCGCGCTTCTGATCTGTCCGTCAGTAACCTAGAAAGCGGCCGCGGCGGCCATTCAGGATTACGGGACCTCCGTCCGTCTGTACGTCCGTCTTGTCTCGCCTCTTCTCGCCGAGATCAAGTGGCGGCTCTCTCGCTATCTCTCTCTATTATCCTCTCCCTCTTTCTTCGTTTACCTAGAGAGGCGCCGCGTGGTATCTCCTCGCCGTGTGATTGCTCCGCGCACGTTTTCCACGTTTCTCTCCTTCGCGTTCCGCGCCGTTCGAAGAACTCGGACGCAGAGATGATGCTGCTCACGTTGCGAACGCATGCACTATTCTATTCGCCCATTACGGTGCCGTGATCGTGCGGTGTGTTCCTTTGAGCTTTCCTCGCGTTACACGACAACGAGACCGATTCGGAACAAGGCGCGGGCTACGTCGACGAGATCTCCACGGATGGACACGAACACGCTCGTGATGCTCGGACACACTCGGCTCTCGTTCGCGACGCTCGTTCGAAGCTATACACGGTATACCGACCGGAACACACGATCGCCACCGCCACACGGCTCTACTATCGACACTGTACGCCTTCTGCTTTTTCTCTCCTTCTCTCTCCTTCCCACGGCGCGAACACTTGTACTTCACTTTATTCACTGGACGTGCGATTACGGTCGCAGAGTCGCGCACCCTCGCCACAGCAGGATCGGCGAGGAGCGATCGACTGTTAAGGGTCTTTGGGTGTGCTTGAGGCGGCGGCAACGGCGGCCGCGGGCGACAACTACGATGGTGTTGCTGCTGTGTGCCGTGTCGCGCGACACGGACGCGAAAAGCACGCGACTCGTACGACGGCGCGTTCGGGCCCGGTCTCGATGCTCAGAGATATTCGCCCATTTGTGACAGATTTTCCGTCCGAGATGTACCGCGTTAACGACCGACCGTCCCCCACCTTTCCCCACATACAGACATCACCGTACTTCGATTTTTCAACATGGCGACATGCCGTCGTCGATCTCGTAGGGGGCACGCGCCGTGATCACGCACCGAGCGCCATTCATTCGGTTAAATGCCGCGTCGCGCGTTTTTTAAATTTGTTATTGTTGTTAATTTACGATTAATCGAAGTTTCGGACTTATCGCGCTTTAGAATCTGAAACTGATTGCAGAATTTATATAATATGATAACATATGTGACTTTTCGGAATATGTAATTGTTGTGTATTAATTGTTTTAAAGTCGATTTGTGTTAAAGTTAACGCGTGATATTACTTAAAACTAAGAAATTATTTGAGAAAAATTGAAAAAAAGTTTATTGTGCAAAATTAGCTTTTTAGATTTTCGAAATAATATATGAAAATGGTAATTTCTTATTTTGTGGTATAGGATTATTAACTTATTGGTTCTAGAAATAAAATTGGAAAAGGAATAAAAATGATTTTAAGATACAAAATATTATATTAATATCTTTTATGAATACTTCATTCATATACAGTTTTATAAGATTATATTAGATATTGTGAAGGAATTTGCAAAAATAGAGATAGAGATTCACATGCAAAGATATTTAGTCAAGAGTAAAATATTTTTGCAACAACTCCTCGTATATGTCTTTGTCAGTGTTTAAGAATAAGCAGAAGATAACTCTATCCACCTAAAAAAAATTTAAAAATTTTATGAGTGCAAAGCGTAATTTCCAGAATATTGTTCATTGAATATGTATATAATCTTACAGCATCTTTATTTTCCAGAAGAAATTTCTTGACTGTTGATAAAGCTACTTTGGCTGCTGGTCCTTGTGGATATCCATAAATTCCAGTTGATATGCATGGAAATGCGATGGTACGCAGCTGATTTTCTTTGGCCAGAGCCAGACTGTTTTCATAACATTTTTGTAATTTATCCGGCTTCTCACCTTGAGGACCAACTGTATGAATAACATCTGGAACATTATAATTATTTAAACATTAATTTTTTTATTCAAATGTAGATGTATATTAAGTTAAACTTTTGTGAATTACTAACATTTAGCCGGTAGCATGTAACCTCCTGTAATTTTAGCTTCGCCAACTTTACAGCCTCCTAATGTTGCGCATTCCTTTTGTAAATTTGATCCTGCTGCTTTATGGATAGCCCCATCAACTAAAAAAAATGCATTTGTATTAATATTATGTTTAATATTATATTTAAAAATTTTCCAACAAAATTATTCTATACCTCCACCACCTCCCAAAAGACTCGAATTTGCAGCATTGACAATCGCATCAATTTCAAGTGATGTTATGTCTCCTTGCCACAGTGACACTTTTCCCGCTATGTCTTTGTCGACTTTTTCAATTTTTTCAAGGGTCTTGGCAATATTGGACTTGTTCTTGTCCAAATATTCTGGCCAGGTAAAAACCTGATCAAGAGTTGTAACACCTGTCTTGTAGAAACTTCTCTTCTCTTCTAACGGCATGTTCAAGAATTTCTCTAATCACAGAAATAATATAAAAATATATTAATTATAATAATTATATATATAACAGTTTTTTTGTTTGTTCGCCATTTAATAGCTATATCAATCACGGATAAATAATTTCTTACGTTTTTCCTCTTCGAACGACATTTTTCCTTCAGGTTTGATTGACGCAGTCGAGTTTCCTCTCGATAAGAAACTATCAAGGACACGGGCACGTCTGAAGAAGCAATTAGCAACTGTCGCCTAGAAACGAAAAGCAGTTCTCGCAGCAGGCTCAGGCAGAACTAATCGCACTGTTGTCCCTTACTTTCAGAGCAAGCATATTCTGCGGCGAACAATGCTTTTGGGTTTTTTGTCATTCGCCGGTATCACGTTTTCAACTGATTAGAAAATCCTGTTGGGTATTTCACTGCCTTCCTGTAGCTGATTGTCGATAAACGCGCGTATTATCGCAAAAATACCGCTGTTTGTTCGTATTTTACGTGATATGTAGTGTGATGTGTAATAATATGATGATATACATTTAACCATTTCACCGACAGTGAAACACCCATCGCCATCTCGCGGTGTCGATGTATTTCACACTGCATTTTTTTTACATAAGAACGTCATCTGGCAAGATCGTCGAAAAAGTACATTTTGCCCGTGAAAGTAATCGCATGATGGTAATACAATTTTTGTAATTAAAACAAAAAATGTTACTGATGTTTTTCAGATGCGATATTTTTAGATAAATATGCAAAAATAAAATTAATTGCTAAATAAAACTAAATTACTCTACACTGAAGAAGGCCTAGAGTGACAGGCAGAAACGTTTGTAATTTTTTTATAATAGAAGGTATATGTTTTTTCGTATGAATAGTTTTATCCCCCTTTTATTTATCTTAATTAATTAATTACTAATTGTGAAAAATTATATTAAAGTGTATAACAAAAATTAAAAAAAAAAATAAATTATGAAAAATAATTAAATTATATTATTAAAATGTAATAATTAATTGTATAAAAAGCTTATATATTATTTTCTTTCGTATCATGTATTTTTACAACAATTAATGAATAGAAAATAAACTATCATAAGTTAAGAAGCAATTAATTAGCTATTTTAGATAATAGATCGTTATCATCCATCAATTTGTGGATAGAATATCAACTTGCTTACTAAAAACATTTACTAAAATAATAGTAATATTGCGTAAAATCATATGTAGCCTAATTATACATCAATACCATATCGAAATGTAAACAATCATTTTACTGCGATTATAAATCAAGCTGATTGAATTCCGTAGGCGTACTTTATTCGTGGGCGTTGATACTAAAACGTACCTCGGTAAGACCGTAATGCTCTCCATTCGATGTACTTATTAAAGTGCTTTTAGTAGTCACGTAAATGCCACGATTCTATGCTTTATGGTATCGAATTGATGGAATGGTTGTTTCAGCAGAATCCAAAGATGAATTTCAAATTGCATATTTCATCAAAAAGCAGACGGACTTAAAGGTTTTTCGCGGAATCTCACTTTACGTGAAATTGAGTTTTCAACTATCGATAGCAGTTGCATCTAAAAGTATGATTTTTCATATAATATTTTACGCATTGTTTATCAAATAAAAATAATATTGAAATTATTTAATTTCCTATTACACACAATATGCGAATCATATCAATGCGCTATAAATTTCATCTATTAATTTTGTTATGTTACGTTTAAATTTTGCTCGATATATCGATTTGCAAATAGTTTATTCAAATAAAGTATAGCCATCACACACGCTATAATGCTAAGAGGGAAAACACTTGCCGCGCAGTCATGCTATTTATCTGACATTTAAGCGCGCTAGTAAGTATAATTAGTTAAGTTCACAACTCAGAGTGCGATTTATGTAAGCCGTAATCACGAAAAGTTTAAGATAAATTCTTGAGACTGCGTGGTTGTCAAATTTAAGAAAAAATTTTGATGACTGGACGGTTTGAACTTTCAAACAATGAGTCGCCCACATAAGGTCACCGAAATACTATGCTTTACAGCGCCGCATACTTATGGATTCGTATGTAGCGAGATGCGATTGCACCAATACATCTGTTTTATCACGTCCTCGGCTGCGGCGGAAATGAAAAAGTGGAAATTACTGTCGGAGCTTGCATATGAGCAAGCATATTTTTCGACGCTGTGTGCTTATGATCAGAAAAGTTTTGAAATATATTGCAAAATAAATTGTACGGGACTAGAAATTGCATCCTTGTTTTTCTCATTTTTAGTAGACTTTTAAACAAATAAAATCTAAATAGAAAATAAAAATATTAATAATGAAAACGTAATAATATTAACAAATAAATATATTAATAAATATATAAAGATTGTTATTTATTTGCTCGTCAAATTTTTTTTGCGTTTTTTCAAATCTCTTCTGAAAATCTTATATCTTACTAGATATATCAAATGTGTCTTATTTCTCTCCACATAGAATAATTTTTCAGAATATATCAATGAATATAAAAATTATAATAAATTGAAAATTTTCAAACTTTTGGCCAAATAAATTGCGGGAACTTTTAAGTTTGCTCTGGTAATTTTTACATCTACATACATGCGGCATTGTAAGGTAAAGTTGTAAGCACGTACGTTCTATGTGTCCGTAATGTGAATGAACAGTATATCTCTGAACGACGCCGACGGCGACGACGTCACCGGCGGAGAAACGGCAGCAGCACCGACGGATTCAGCCGTGCTTTTTCCACCACGTTGTACAGAACGGCGACCGCGTAGTAGCGCATGCTGAAAGCCGCCCCGCTATCGATCCATTCGCGCCCCCGAGCTTTCTCTCGCTTCTCCTCACAAGCCTCGCGAACGTCGCCACCGAGCAATCGTCCCGGCGCACGAATTGGGTGCGATTTTATTTCTGTGTACATTTCGTAATAACATATCACCTCGGCTCTTCCGTTTTCTCTATCGAAAGTGCACCAGAAGACCAGCAACAGCGGCAGCATTATGGCGCATCGAGGCGAACACTACAAGGCGATTTTTCTATTGTGTGAGTTTCTCGTAGAATTGTTCTTTTTTTTTCCGCTAGGAATGGAATAAGATTTCGATATTTCCATGCAAAAGAAGCAAAATGACAATGCGTGATATGGTTGCGTCGATTGTCAAATGGCACCGTTTAATCCTTTGATGTCAAAGGGTTGTGATTTGCAATTTTGCGTAAGGCGATCGTGTGTAAAGCAATCCTTTTCATGGTTGCTCAGGTGTATTCTGAATAATAAATGTACAAAATCATTTTAAATCGCATAGCGCATTAAAAGGTTAAAGCCGAATGACAATGGAAATTTGAGAAAAGTTTCATCGAAACTGTATTGTACGTCTGTCAAAGAATTTTAGAAAACTGGTAACGTAAAGTCGTTGCTTTTAATATGTACGGCTTTACTTAGTTGTAAAGAATTTATAATTATACTGAATAGCCATGTTCTCGAGATATTATTCTTTTTCCTTGTTTAATGTCTTCTGTGAACGATGTAATTACGCAACTATAGTTACTGGTATATTAGATATGTGAATGTGTGAAAAAAAGGACAAATGATTGCCTTGACAAATGCCATTTTTTTAAAATTCACCGGATAATACAAAGCTTTCAGACAGATTGTGTGTTCGTAACGCTTTCATGGTCAGAAATTTAATTCTATCAATTTCTTTTCGTTAGTAAGTTATAAGGAGTATTTTCCAGTGGTTTATACGCGCGTTTAATGTAAACTGTATTTTCTTATTAATTTCCTAATCTAATTTGTGAGAAAGGTGCAAGGGAGCGATGCTGTCTTATTTACTTAAACAAGGGGAAAGTTAGATTAAAAATATACCGACATCGTGTGTGTGTGTGTGTGTGTGTTTGTGTGTGGATGAACTTTAAAGTCAAATGATGTTTTTAATCGCATTTTTATCAATCTTTTTAATTAACTCGCCTTGCAAACTTAATTAAAATTTAAAATCTTCCTTCTATGTTTAACTCACCTTCTTAACTTGTTAATTTATTGCAGATATTTATTATCGTATTTTACCAAAGTAATTTTTGGCAGGGTGTGTCTCGGGCATAGCATTTAGTATTACCGTCCCATCGCCAATATCGCGGCAAGTGGACGAACAACGTTACACCACACGCAGAACGCCGAAAGTCTACGTAGAAATGCCTACTCCGAGGACGAGATTGCCCTTGGTAAGTATACATCCTTATACATTTGACACTTGCATTCTTTATTAATCTATATCTTTCGCGTTCTATTCTACATTTTTTCAATCTTTCCTTAAACTATATTTTCCCGTTCCAGATTTTTTATATATGATCATTTTTATATCACAAGTCACAATTTTAAAAATAACTTTTACAAAATATTTTATTTTATATTGAATAACCAATTAAAAGGATTTCTCGTTATCATCTCTCTTTTTGTAACTCTAATACTATTTAAACAAATACATACCTCGCTCTTTGCAGTGATCAATACGCAGTTTTAAAAGTACAATGAATCATATTCTCGTACGCAGAAGTAATTGTTTAAATGGATTCGCGCTAATACATTCACACGCGCACCACCTCGGTGGAGGTGCATATACATCTCTGTGTACATACATCTACACACCGGTGTCCTTACAGCGGTGGGCGGGGACCACTCCTACATACGCGAGCTGCATCACTAAATCCGCACATAATCGTATTACCGTTTATTATAGACGCTTACTTAACCCAAGGTTTAAATCCGATAATTAACGTCCTAAGAAGATAGTCTTGGGCGTTATTACTTGATTATACGACGGCGTGATTATACATCCCCTTTACAGGAAACTTGAAAAATCTCCGTCACAGAGCAAGGTCCTATGCTTTTCTCAAGGCTGACCTTAACGCGGGGCAGACACAATGGCGGTTTTACGCCATCACTATAATATATGATAATGCGTGCATTCATAAAGGAGCGCTCTGCTAAACGTAAAGCGGTCTTATCAAAACTTTTATACAGTCCTCGGCCAGACCTTGACCTTATTTGCTCGACGTATTTTATCATTTCTTGTATTTTAATGCCAATAATTAAGTTCTTACTCCGTTCTTCTTTTACACATAATTAGAATAAATTAAATATAATTAGTGCGCTACTCTATTTTCCTCTCTCTTTTAGCTTTGATAACGAAGCTGTCATATGCCACCCCAAAATAAATTAGCTAGATTTGCTTCAGCTGCAAAGCGTGAAAACGGAAGCGGAATATCGTCACGTAATCGTTTGATCTAGCGTGGCCTCTAACCCGTTTATCTAAACGTAGCCTGTTGCTGCTTGAAAATATTTTGCTGAGCGATACGCCGTCATGCAATTTACGTTTCATCGTCGCCGTGATAGTCATATAACTTCCGGCTGTAAATGCCACCAGCGTGCTTATGGCCATCGCGCGCAGATTTCACCGACGCGATATTTTACAATGCAGCGATCCAAATGACTGGCGTGGAATTAGATAATGATAGCGTCTCTTTCTAAGAATGCTATAAAAAAATCTGTAGAATATATCGATTAGAAAATTGTTCAAAATTGAACGTCGAGAACCAGACAAATAAATTTTTTTCTGAAAAAACGTAGGGATTAAAAATAGCTTGCTAGAGACCTGAGACTTTATACACCGTGATACTGAGAAGTTACACATTTGTAAGTGCACTTAGACGTCCGATAAAACTTTAAACACGCTGTCAACTTGTTTGTGCAGACTTCCGTTTAATGCTTTGTGGACGAACCGTCCTATGTTACTGTGTAAAGTCACAAATATTACAAATGTTACAATTTACAAATATTTGTAATCTTACACAGCCCCACGGTTTTCTGAATTTACACATGCTTTTACGCTTTCGCGTATACTCACACTCAATATATTTGCAATGGATTTGTGAATCTTTCTGATGTAAAATTTTTATAACATTCGATTGCTAGTTTTATTGGACTCCTTAACATTTCAATGATATTATTTGATGTTATTGTACAAAGACTGCGTCAGTTTACTGCAAACAATTTTACTAGTACTATCTACAATGAATACGTCTCTTCTTATACACATATTCTAATATTGGCTTACATGCCCTTATGTTAACACAAAAAAAATTGTTATTGTAAAACTTATGTTTACATTACTAAGAGATAGTCTTTTAGAAATTATATTTTCAGAATTTTCCAACTTATTGAAACATGAAAATTTCATCGAGCAATTCTTTTACAATATATGAACCAAAATTTTTTTGAACAGATTTCTTGATAAAAGCAATTTGTCTTTAAATAACTTTTCATAATCAACTCTACATATATTACTTTGTTGTTTTAATCTATAAATAATTATTATTGATGCATCGTTCTTTTATTTATCACGTAATTGCTCTCTTTTTAAGCCCGTACCTCTTAACTCTGAACTCAAAACCACCACATCTGTGCCCTCAACTACGTCGACCACTCATAGATCATTTTCTACGGAAAAACCTTTGTATCGGTTGGATAGAAGCAACGGTCAAGCGTGCATTCTTTTACAAGTGGATGCCATAATCAGCGTCAAGTATCGCACGAAACTCGGCGAAGATGAAGTAAGAATTGTATATAAAATAAGTTCTCTAAAATAAGTGACTCTTATTGCCTTTCTCTCGATATTGATAGTTTATCATATAAGCCTTAAAAAATTTTATTAATTATAAATCAATTTTGACCTTCAGAATGTCGATATCTATGTGCCTGACGATGCAACTGTGACCGGAAACTGTGACAATGAAAATACGGTCACAATGTCGTTAAAATGGAATGCCTTTGTCCTCTCGTGGAGTTTTGCTAAAGTAAGACTTTTAAATATTTCTTCCCAGCCTCCCACTGTTTCGAAATAAATTGTCGAGGATCGGTTGAAATTAATGAGAGAATAAATCATCAGAATTGTGCCTGGCACGGGCAAAAATCAATACATAACCCTTTTACGGACATATAGCTCGTTCGATTTTCACCCTTATATCGTTGATTGCGTGCTAGGAGCTATCACGATATTCCACAATTATAACTTAAGTAGAAGTAGTTGAAACTCTCTCCTCATCAGGAGTAACGCAACGATAAAAAAAGTCACGTACAACGAGTGTGATAAGACGTTACTTACACATGCAACTGCAAAAAATGTGTGCCTAGGAAAATATATTGCTTTGTCTTGTCCCTGATCTCTTAGCAACCTTATGTAAAGTGGGTAATAGGATCGACCCCATAAAACTTCCTTGAGGACACATTATTAGACTACAACTTCACTTTTTAGATACCCGGTGACATATTATTACATTACAACTTTATTTTCCAGACACCCGGTGGCGAACGCTGGTACGTCGAGAAAATCGAGCTGACCTATAATTCCAGTGACAAACACTTCGAGCACATTGATCAGCCGAGTAAGTGCAATTAGCATCCACCGGCTGTTGATTTTATATCATTTTACCACTTTACTGAAACTATTCTATTGAAATTTTATAATATTACGTCATTTCTTCATTTTACTAATTAAACTATCAAATATATTGAGAATAAAGGGAGACCTCTCTTCATTAAACAATTTATTAAAAATTATTTTAAACTTTGATAGTGTATCGTAAAAATCAATCTAATCATTTTATTAATATTTCAGACAAGACTATTCGCTTAAGTACTGGCCAGAAGCATAGCCCTATGCTATTTCCCACACCGGTTGGAAAATCCTACGCCTGTTCCGAGGAGACGGAAATTCCGCTCACCGACGGCAAGAATCGCGCCAGTGTACTTTTGAGGTACTTAATCATATTGCTGAATTAATCTTATTGAAAAAAATTATTTTCTAAATTTGCAAATGGCATGACAAATTACTTATAATTGCAAATCGATGATAAAGTCATTTTTCTATCACATGAATGCTTTTTTCAAAAATCAAACGACACTAAATATGGCATTTGATTAAAAGCTATAATATACAATGAATGTTAAGCAAAATTAATTGTCTTATTGATTCTTTCATAGACTGTGGAAAATATATTTTTTTCTACTACATGTACATTTTTTTTAGTCTATAGAAAAGTTTTTTTTTTGGGTTCACATGGTTTGACTTTTAGGGGCAATTCATTTTGTCCCAAAAAAGTTAATTGTGTGGGAAAAACGTTTAAAACCTGCTAACGTAGGAACGTTGGAATTTTTAGGGATATGAAGTTACAGCCGTTTAAATTCAAGAATAATGAGTTTGCTGCTGAGTTTTCATGCACTTCCCTAAGCGCACGAGCCAACAGAGACGAGACCGCACCGGTAGCGGTTGGTTCCACATTGGCTGCTGCTGTTCTTTTAACAATTACTGGATACGCCGCTTACCGATATTTTAAAGTGAAAAAGGTCAAATACGACACGATGGAATAAAGAATCCCATGTGAATTCCATTGTCACGACGATGCCAAAGCAGCATATATCGCCAAAATCGACGTCTTTAGTGAACGACTTGTAGTTCTTGTCAACATTTCGTCACACTAGTTCTGGAAAAAGAGAAGGTTTGTTATTCCGTTAAGTATTTTTTTTTTTTTTTTTTTAGTTACAGACGAGCATATCAAACTTGTAATTATCACGTCATTATCCATAATTATCTCTGATGGCACTTGACGAGTCGATGCAGGGTCGATGATAAATTGATATCTGGTGGTACTTAAAGTAGACTTCGTGTTCCGTGATGCGAGATATCATATTAGAATCCTTTAGATAGTCATATCTGATTATATATTCGGAAATTCTATTATAAATATACACTTATAAATATTTCAAAAGATTTGCAACGGTACAGACTTGTGCCGATGTATGCAACAGCAAAGAGACGTAATCACTTTAAATAAAAACAATATTCTCGATATGTGATTTTAATATTCATTATTAGTATTTCGATTCTATTTATCTTTCAACAAATTTTTATTGCTAATAATTCACAAATGTTAAACAATAACTATTCCCACATTGCTTTTGAAAAGATTTTTAACTCATTTTCGTCAATTATATTGTTGTCTACAAAATTTCGAAGAGTCTTGATATTTGTAAAAGTCATTAACGTTTGTCGATTTTATAATTGAAACAGTCATCGCGCATAAAAATGCATCATTATGAATACAAAGAACTAGATATCATCAGTTCATACCATAAGTACTTTAAAGGTATCGGTGCATGGTGTAATGGAATTTTGTTGGTAGTATTTGCGCAACAAGTTTGTCAATCGTGTACATCGAATGTCAACGTATTCGTTCGGAATTCAATGAGAAAACGACATTCGTAATCGCAAACTCGGATGGTTGTACCGATAGGCTCTTCGACTCGTAGAACTTGGTCTACGCGTCGTTATATCTACACAAACATTGGAAAAAAGAAAAAAAAACAATTAAAAATCTCGTCACTCATATATTTCACCGCCACAAAAGAGTCGCATTAATTACGAGATCTTTCGATTTTGCATAATTTTCTAGGATACATAAGAAACATATATTTTAATATACCTTGAAATACTTGCATCGTGTACTAATCGAGATAATTAAATTGTTTCTCTCGGCGTAAATTTGCGATATAACATATCTTTATCCTTTGTGAAGATTACACAACATATAAATATATATATATATATATATATATAGTGACAATTTTGATTGATTCACATCAAAAATCGCAACGAGACTTCAATGCCTCGTGAGACGTGAGACGGTCCTTCTTGGCAGCTAACAATGTTAGATAGACGGGCACTTAGGTTATTTAACGAGAGTGTATTAAAAGTGTTAATACATTTTGATGTGGCGCCTTAATTATCGTGTACATAGCAGTTGTCTATAATTTACTAATAGATCGTTTTCAATTTTTTACTTCGATTGTATTCGATTCTACAATGCTTTACTCTTTGTAACGTAGCTTTATAAGCTCTCGATTCGCGACGCGCTTTGAGTCTAGAATATATATTTAGCTGTAAATATAAAATTAAATCAATTCCGTCATTTGTGTCTGACAATGAGATAAAAATGAATTGTGTCCCAGCTTATATAGTTTACAATCCGATCTCAAATATTGTTTGCTCGGTTTTATGTAGATAGGAAATTATGTAAGTATACCTCTCACGAGAGCCTGTTTCTCAAATCTTCTTCGAAATATTTATATGAATATGTCAATTTAAGAACTACAGTAATAAACAATGTAGAATGACAATTATACATGTGTCATGATAAGATAATTTATTTATTCGATTTATGATTCTCATTTTAAATATGTACAATGTAGAAGTGATGTAGCCGTTCTGTCACGCAAGTGTGTGAAGCGTTTATTTTCTAAACATAGAAATTATTTGAAAATTAGTGCCGACACGCGATTACTTTTTCTATTGCTGTTGCCTGCTGAAGTTTTCATGTTTTTATATTCTACATTTTATTTTGGATTGTTTGTTTCTTGAATATATTTGTAAAGCTCGTGAATATGCGCTCGTTAGGAATTTATGAATAATTTATTCTAGCGTATAAAATTCAAAGTTAGTGAATTTTTTTCATATAAGATTTTGTCCAGATTACGGTGTTGCACAGTTATGATTGCGAAGTTTAATTAATTATATAAGATATATATATATGATGGATAAAACAATTGTGCGATGATAAAAGGCGATTTATTTATACGTCGGAAATAGCTAATCGCTGGCGATGGCGCGCGATAAATAATATAGTTATTAGAGAATTATACCTAAGTGTAAGACGTATGCGTCCGCGCGTGCATGTATTAAGAATTATACATATCTACGTGCTCGCATACATACGTCATATATGAAGAGAAATACTTACGTATATCGATATATACATAATATATAAACCTCTGTCTTCCAAGCGCATATTAAAGTTACTTCGTGTGTAAATATATATATTACGGATATCGTATATCGTATTTCCAAGATTTGTCAATCGTCGATTCGTAAATGTGGCCGACAGCGTTGTGCGAGTATCGTGACAATTCACAAGATCTTAAGAGGAATTGAAAAATCTGTAGACGATTTTGAACAATCTTTACTGGTACTTTTCTGAGGCAACAATTGATACAATTTTATGGTTGAAAAAAGAAAGAGATGTTATATACTCTAAGCTGAATCTATTTCGAAGTCAGTATATTGCCTATCGCATAAAAAATTTATCGTGCAATTCAATTTATTATAATGTCTAGGATTTGCTTTTGTGTTTCAAAAAATTGATCTGAGCCGAGTTGGAAGCACGCTTGAAAGATCGAATGAACATCACTTATGCTCGCGGTACGGTGATATTAACACGAGGAAGGTCTAGCTGTAATTATGAGAATGTATTTTTGTGCTAAAGTCAATCTTACCATAGGTATTAACGGATAGTAGTTGTTAAGAAAGTTAGCGGCGCGATTTTGCAGCTTGCTCGTCTGGTAGCGATGTGTAACAAGTTAACGGATGAAACATTCGATGGCTCTGGATTTAACAATAATTAGTGTCGTTTCTTTTTCTTCCCCTATCTTTTTTTAAATATTTTTTGAACTATAGAAGACGATGATAACGACGCAAACTGCTGAATCGCGACGTTTTTACGAAGGAATGGCGTCAAATTATGAATCATATCGCTTGATCTATAGCCGCAGCGTTAAGTCTTGTAACAATTATTATAATGCATTATCGCGAGGATCGCGAGAACAAAAAGATGAATTCCGATTTCACGTAACATACATAGTGACATACATCTACTAAAAATTGTATCATATCGATAAAATAAAGGCTGTTATACAAGTTCACTCAATCGTATATGATTGCATCTATAACGCTTCACACCAAAATTTTCCAAGCTGGATTCTCGCAGAGTTCCACTCAAACAATATAAAAGTAACATTTTTCGACAAGAATGTAGGTAAAAAAATATAGTATTATTTTTCCAATTGCTACATTTAACATATTTTTAAAAATAAAATCCAGTAACAACAAATCTATTTTAAACACTAATAATTTATTATATTTATTCTTTTATATACGATTGCATTTTTAGATATGTAGAAAAAAGTTATTTTATGTATGAAACATCCATTTTATGATACTATAAAATAATATAAAATAATATAAAATAATATAAAAAATATTCACAATGCAGAAAGGAATATTCTCTCGTTTATTTAGAATATTTTTACAATATTTATAAAAATGCATATGTGATTGTTGAAAATCTAGCGGAAGCTAGATAATACTTAAAATTGAAAAAGCAAAATGTATATCACGTAATCGCCTTTCATTTTATATACATGGGTATTACGCCTTTCGAAAGCAGATGTCTATTTGGTGTTCACGGTGGAGGGTCGGAGACATAATAATCTCGGGCTATGGAAAGGGCGTGAAAAGTACAGTCAAGCAGGCTTATGCGAGCCGGGGGGAGCTCTCGCACGGCTCCCTTTGCGCAACGCACCGTCGTCAACGGCTCATTGTCGCAATGTCCATTGAAATCTCTCGTAACAATGGCGCGCGACAGGACGATCGCATTGTCGCCTGCGAGAGCATCCCGGTCCTCGCGCCTGCGGGTGCCTGCGAGCGATTTGAAAAATCGCTGCTCCCGTCGCCGAGGATTACATCTCGTAGCGCGGATTACGGCTGTTTCGATGCGCCATTATTCCGCCAATTTAATATTTAATCGAGCAAATTTGCGAAATGCTCGACAAAATGTACCGAAAAAGAATATATAAACTAAATTTTACAACAGAGAACAATAATTATACAATAACATGTTATTCACAAACAAAAAGAAGAAGAAATATTGCAAAAAAATTGTGTAAAGCGAATTTATTTGTTGCTGATATTCGCGATACAATCGCGCTTTTGCCATCGCGCGGCTTGTAATTGGTCGACACGCTCCTAATTAGCAATTACCGCGGCACAGTTTGGCTTAATTGGCCGGAAATTTATTCTTCGCGCATCGGATGATAACGCGCTCGCGACGATAACACGACCGGAGGTGACCGGGATAATTGAACATAATTGGCTGCGTTTGATGACAGATGTACTGCCTGATCAGGGGGGGAGGACGCTTCCTGCGGAGAGGCAGGGAACGGCAGGACAAGCGAATGGGGTACCGGAGCGGCGCGTGGGAGGAAGGGGCACGGGGGTGACCTATAATTTATAAACTAGGGGCTGTTTTGGGGTAATTGCAGATAACGACGGGGCGGTCCGGATAACAAGCCGACATGGGAGTCACTGGACACCAGTGCCACTCCACCATCCGCGCGTAACACCATAACCTTAGCGTCGTTACGTACGGTTATCCCCGTTATCTGTGTGTAGTATAGTTTGCAACCCTGTCCAAGCGTAAGTTATGTCGCGCGTGATATCACCGCCGGGGGTTGAGTTAATAAACGACCGCGGTTGCAGTGAATCGACCGACGCCGCCGCCGTCGCCACCGCCGCAGCTTTTCATCCTTCGAACTCGTTAGCGGCAGAAATGTCGAGTGAGATGTTGCACAGGCCAAAAGATAGATGATTCTCGCTATTCTCGCTATCAGATTGACAGAATATATTTTCGAACATTTCATAAAATAATTCAGCGAATATTGAATTAATTATATGCAACCGTGATCGATTTGAAATACTAATAAATATTCGAATGCGTTATACTTTTTATAATTATCATATTTAAAAGTTTATAGTTTTAGAGTTTAGAGTTTAGAGTTTTTCAGATGTATACGATAATATTGCTATCCAGCTGTGATTTATGACGATTTTCGCAAATAACTATCGTATTTCTGTCAGCAACCATTTCACACCTTGTTGAGCGTGAAAAATCAGTACCTACCTACCTTCTCTGTTACAGAGTTATAAACGTGTAAAATCTATTAGGACGCCATACAATAACAGGCGGTCTACCTGTATAATATTCTTGTGGGCATCCCAAAGAGATGAGAGGTGATGAATTATGGTTGTATTTTGATAGGTTGGTGGTTTTGCTTACCGCTTAGAAAGATTTACGGTTAAATAAACATTACCTCTTAGTGCACTTTAAATGATTCAAAATGACCGCATAATACACACTTGACTTCGTGTTTATTTCTGCCACATGTTGCTTAAATAATCTGTAGATATCAGTTCAAGTTAATTATGCGTTATTACACAGTAAGCAAAATATTAGCAATGTGGGCAAATTTACAGCAAATTTGATAAAAAAGTTTTACGCAAGTGCTCGCTTAATATACAGTCTTTGTTGTCAAGATCAAGTGAACATGAATGGTTAATATGATTTAAATCTAAAATATAATTTAATTATTTTAACAGAACAAATATTATTTAAAATGATATTTTAAAATGATATTTTACTTATCTTGCAAAAACAGCAAAAATATAATTCGAACCTGCAGAATCGTATATACGTCAACTCATAGTTTTCTTCGATAAAAAATAAACTGCGCAAAAGTATTTTTGAGCAATATTTTCATATCTTATTATATTTATTATATTACTTATATTTTATTTTTTCTCTTTCCTCGTTAATAATTTATGTTATATAATGTTGTAATTTATATCTTTTAATATGTACTTATCTCCTTCTTATTAATTTAAAAATAGCCTTTTTTTCTGCGTTATCATAAAACAACCACTGTTGGTAGCAAAGTGTCGATGCAGCAATTCGTATTCTCAGTTACGTTATAATCAGCCTCGCACGTGGATCCACCAAGACGAGATCCTTCCTGGAGGTGCTATAAATATATCTCCTGGATGTATGACGCTATGAATCCTAAGTTCCCACAGCGTGGATGAGCAGCTCAGCGCGACTACGTCTTGATAAGCCGATAAAACCGCGACGCGGCCTTGACGAGTCTGCACGGTCAGCTCGTGAAATCGTCGTAGGCAGCGTTTCGTCTTCGTCTTCATGAAAACGTCATCTTCACACTGTCTGTATAGCGTGAAAGAATTAGCCGACTAATATTGGACATCGTCTGCCACGCACGGATAAAATTCTCTGAAACAACATTCTGGAAGATTTCTACGTCCAAATTCCATTCTTCAACTTATAACTCTAGTTATGCCAAAATCTTCTTGTCCAGATCTAAAAATTTAAGACATTAATCAAAAATATAAAATCTTATATTACAATAATAAATATAAAAGCACGTAAATTAAGTAAAAAATTTAAAAATGTTTTATTTTACTGTAATTTTTTCGAAATTATTTATGGAAAGAAAATATTTATGATAGTAAATTGTTCTCATTTTCAGTCAATATAATTTTTATGGAAGAATTACTGTAATTCTTGAGAAATTTAACTAAAAAAATAAATATTTTATATATAATATTAATATAATAAATATTATATTAAATATATTTGCAGATGCGCGGCGTACGCAGGAGAAATTGAAAAAGTACACGATAGCTCTAATTGAATAAATCTTGCTTGTGGCCCGGGCGTTGTCATCGTTTGAAAACCACCCTCTAACAGGGAGTATGACGACACGGACACGTAAACGGGAGATTTTCGTGGGGTCGGCTCTCATACATACACTGCTCCTATATATATAGCTGTCTATTGGGGTGCTCCAGAGTGACAATGATGTAACGTAAAACCTGCAAAACTGTTCTCACCCCTCTATTTTCGATCTATCATAAACGTAGATTCGAGGTTTTATTCGTTTGCATTATCTAATACTGCATTTTTAATTTGTGTGTTCTGCAAAGAATATTAGATTTCAATACTTACCAAATATTACAATTTGTTCGATATCTTGTTTTAATTTATATTCATAAATTTTATATAAAAAAGATTTGACAATGAATTTTATTTGATTAATCTCATTTTAACTAAAATTATAATCACATTTTTTGGTGAATACATAAGTTCGGATATCAAAATAATTTTTAAAACAATCAAATTCGATAAAGGCATATAACACTCATTACAATTTATATAAAATCAAAGAAACTAATTATTGAACAAGCAAATGAAAAGTACATGCGAATTTACACGTGTACAAACTATTTCATGATCAAATGTCGTGAACAGGGGTGCTTGAACTGAAGAAGAAGAAGAAAGTGTCACCAGTGGTGAGAGGGACGAAGACACAGTGACACGGGACGGAAAGAAGGGCGTTCATAATAACGTCAAGGGCGAAGAGAGGGGGCAACAGCGTTCCTCGTGTTCAGATGCTCTTTTCAAGAGTGCGAACCCTCCTCGACGCGCATTCAAGTGTCCGCTGCTTTGTAATGCCTCTTAATACCGCTTCACAGTCGTCGTTATTAAGGATCCGGAACATATTGTCGATACAACATCGGTGACACCGCACCTATGGCGTCAAGCCCTTCATTGCCGGGTACAGACTGTGGGAGTGCGGACATGTCGCAGGAAATACGGGAGAAGAATTTTCGGCGCAAGGGAAAATGGAAACATCATTGCAATCGTAGAAAATTTTCAAAGTAAAAAGTTGACAAAAAATATTACCCAACCCTCTAATTTTATCCGTAGTTACATCTAATTTTTAGAAATATAAAAAAACAATTATTAGATCTTAAAGTTAATTCTAAACTTAATTCACTGTGGATTTCTTGTCCTTTTTAATAGTAATAAAAGAAAGAGATTGAAAAATATTACATTTGTAATTAAAGTAAATAATGTAATTTTTATTTATTGGGAAAAATTTTAATCTTATGTGTTATATATTGTGCGAAGCATCGTGGGAGCTTCCGAGTTTGCCCAGAGCGATGAAAGGAAAGTGTGAGAGAGATTTTAGATTCTTTTACAGAAAATTCGGGCTAAAGGTCTCGCGACTTC